TAATATTAATATTTAATATTTCTTATTATTTTCTTTTTGTCGAAATATGCGACTACATTTAATATGTGTTTATTACATAGTGTAAAAAGAATGCAAAATAAAAGTCCAATTTCTATTAACTATTTTATTTACATTCGTTATTGAATATGTAAATTGTAATTATTATTAGATAAGTTTTATAATACTCAAGAGTCAAATTAAATTCGATAAAGGAGCATAAGAGCCAATTCGAAGAAATTGTTTAATACACTTGCACGTACATCCTGCAAATTGGCTCCTATGCTCCTTTATCGAATTTAATTCGACTTTGTTCGGATAGCCAATACTTTATTTATAATACTTAAAAGTTCAACAAAATCCAAAGATAGATTTCCGTCCACAAACTTTTAATTTACAAAAATATTTGGGAAAGATATTGTTAAATAATTCTTTCCACTTTATCATTCGTCACACAAAGAAAATATTTGATGTGGCAGTGAAATATTTTATGTAGGAACTTTAAACTGACAATTTGTGCCCTACAAAATGGTCCGTTGTAATATTTTATCGAGAAAATATTGGATCCAGTCAGGGATTTGAGATATTTCAGTGGTCCTGTTCTCTAAAGATAAGATTCTCTCTCGTTTTTCAAGGTCACGATGACATATCCACACAGTGACAAAGTGAACATGTGCGATTTTCAAAAGATTATGTCAAATTTTTATAAAAGTTAATTTAACAAAGTTAAATGTTTCTATGCTTTTCTGTCTGATTTTTTCGTTCTCCTCTCTTTTCAATATTATATGCGGTAAAACTGCATTAGTGGCGACTTCACTGATTTGAACGATCTTGACATATGTTGTCAAAATTATTTCTCTGATAATCAAATGATTTTATATCATTCGTTACTTATTAAAAAAATATTAATAAATAAAGTTGACGATATAAAGATGTGTTTCATTCTATCTTAAACTTACGAATTTTATATAAATACATTATATGCATAATTGCATATTTAAAGAAATAGTTGGCAGAGAAGAGTAGAGCCCTACACTTCCACAAAACAAATATAATTAAAACAAAATTTTGTAGAGTGAATCGCTTCGTCTGCTGGAAATCCATGCAATCGTACAAGAATTTAGAAGGTCCATTTCATATTGCCTTCTGCTTACAGTGCGAAACGAGATTGTAATTGTACAATTTCACATAGATTTCCAATTTCCCAAGCAAGATCCTCCAGTTCATTGAATTTGATTTGAGTTAGATTTTTTCGGGGTAGGAGTACACAGTATACGTATATGATAAAATATACTACACCTCTATTATATTGGAGCCTCTTCGCCGATCATGTATTTCTTTATATACGCAAATATACGCATAATGTGCTATTTAAAATGCTATGTAAAAATTCAAATAAAGTTAAATATATCTTTATCTTTAGAGAAGGTAATTAAGTTTTATTGTTAATAACTTTATAATAACCAATATACGACGATTAAAACTTCATGATTGTTACTGAGGACAATTTTGACAACATATGCGAAGATCATTGAAGTCATCCTTAATGCAGAGAGTATTACTTTATCTTTTTATGCTACTTACTCTTATATCACAATAAAAAATTATATAATTATGGATTCTTCATTTGAAAAAAACTCATGTTAATTTTGAAATCTATTTTGAGATGTACAAAGAAGTAATTTTATATTTAAATTTCCATCTAAAAACATCTATGAGATAATGTTATTCTATTTCTTTATTAGATTTTATCTAAATAGGTCGCGCGCCAAGAGAAAATCGAAGGGTGTCTTCGACATCTCGTCAGAACGGGACCTTCTTCGAGCAAACACATTTCCGGAATGTTGTATAACGTAAAAGTAAAGGAAAGATGGTGCGGAGGAGGAATAGTGTATGCAGACGCGAGCCTATATCAAAAGTTCGCTTCCGTTGGGGCTCACGAAAAAGGAGACGATGACATAGCTGCGTTAGGTAAGTTGACTCAGGACGAAATTGGTTTCGACGCGTGTCGGCGAATGTCGAACTTTCATCGTGATACCTTCACTTAGATAGACATCACTGTACTTTTGCAGTCATGAAAGGAAAAACTGCAGAAATTCTTCAAAGAAGTAGACGCAGAAGAAATATTTGTGCTTGCAAATTTAAAACAACTTAAAATTTTTGTTTTACTCTTATATTAGAATTATTTTTTACATCGTGTAAAATATTATAATGAGAACGATATAATATCATATCCATTATTTAAATTTTTTGCATTACTTTTGAGAAAAGACATTAAATTAATTTAACTTCAAACAGAAAACTATTTCTAACAATAAGAAGAATAAATTTAGCACAGAAACAGATAAATGTTTAGTTAAATTCTCTCGTGACAAACGTCAGCCAAATTCTAAGAAGACGATTAAATGAGCACTTGACAGATAATTTATCAAAAATATGTGTTATTTAATATAAATTATTTAATATCAATATATAATTATTAATATACTAAGTTCGTCGTATTATGAACTTATAAAAATATATTTATTTCAATCTATCGATATATTAAAATAAAACAAAATATTATTCTTTTGACTTTTAAAGAACACGTCAATCAGTCTTTTTTATTTTTCATTTGTTTTTACTCATAGAAACGCTAGTTTATGAGATTTATTTGGACTGTGTACAAAAATTAACTATTTCTAATTTGATTGCTAAAAATTTAAGTATTTTTGTATGTCACTTTTAAAAGATATACAATATAATTTGCTAAGATTCGATGATTATTTCAGCATAAGTATATCGCTGAAGCACGTTATTGAGAAATATACAAATATAAAAACATAATTGAAAGTTGTACTCACGATATCGAAGTCCAGATTCTCGGCAATCCAGTCGCGTCCTTGCTTGAATTCGTCGTGGAGACCCATGATATAAAGAGTATCAAGTCCATCGACGATAGTCGCGCCCATATTCGAAGCTCCGAAGATACTGGCACTATGACCTCTCTTCGAGATTGGTCTTAATTCGTTTTTCCCCCATGCGTACCGTACGTAGTTGTCCCAGCCATGCTTCATCATCTGCGTTAGAAAATTGCAAGAAATTAATACAAACTTTTCATTTAAAAAATAAAAATGTCTACTGTTTTACGATTTACATAAAATAATATCAATTATACACGTAATTGTTTAGGCGAGAGTTGCCAAATGCGTATCACTTAAGATATTTTTTATTATATTTTCCATTTGATATTGATTTGTACGCAAATAAACATTGGAAATTATAGTTTGATGTTTTAAGTCTTTATTATATGTTTAACTTTTTACCCATAACAAATTAATTTGATATAAGTTTTTTTGTAAAATACAAAAGGTATGATTTTACACCTAAATTGTACTTCCTTTAAAAGTATCGAATTTATAAATAAAAGTAATTAATAAAAATATTAGATGTAGAAGTCTTTCCTTTTTAATTTTATATAATTTACACGTAATATAAGTAATTTTTTTTTATTTTTTGATCAAGTCATATAATTGACGACAATAACGTTTGACATTAACAGGTTCACCCAAATTAAGGGATTGTTAATGGAGCACATCTTTTATATCTTATCAGATACACAAAAGGTCCTTCACGTAAAAATTACTCTTTAAAAATCAGTATTTTCATATATTGTGAGATACGTATAGTATTCTCATCAAGAATAGAAAACTTTATTATGAAAATATAAAAATTCAGAATAAAATTGTATAATTAATTACTATACTAAAAATGTAGATATCTCGAATACAAATCAATATCTTAGAATTCTAAAATGTCTCTTCTATAACTAACGGTATGCGCAGTCAAAGTATCGAGATATCGAGCTTTTAAGATGTGCCGCGTAAACTATTCCGTGAATAACAAATATGTTGTCCAGTTCATTCATTATTTCTGATTCTCTTGATTTTTCGAGTTATTTGTCAGGCACCCGCGGTTATGGTCGCTTCATCACGTTTTTATGACGGCATAATTTAGGGGCAATATAATATCGAAAAGACCTGGCCAGTGGCATTACCAGAAGGATCTCCGCTCCCCTCTCTTTCTCACTCTCTCTCTCTCTCTCTCTCTCTCTCTCTCTCTCTCTCTCTCTCTCTCTCTCTCCTCGTTGCGGTTGTAATAGAAAAAAAAGGAAAATTAAAGAGAACGAAGAACCGCGAGATGAAAGTTAAAGAGAAACACGTGTTATTTTACAATTACCTACATTCACTTTTAAATGTGAATCGGATTTACACTGCAGTTCATAAATTTGGCGACGCTTGCAATTTTCTTGTATCGCGAAAAGTTAAATATCTCGATGAAAAACATCGTAGAGGAGTTTTCAAAAATATATTTTAAAAAACAGATGGAGTTATATAAATTTGTCGTTTAATTTCTACGATATTTTATTCCTAAATTATTGTATATAAAATTGAAAATTAATATTTTTCCGATATTTTTGTTTTACTCTGTAGCGCTGTAACATGTTGAAATATCATCAAACAAAAATTAATAAAAAAGTGTATTTTAAAGTTAACTTTCTTAGTTTTAACAAAGTTTTTCTTTTAAATTAGTATAATAATTTTTCGCAATAATACCGAATTTCTTGTGTAAAAACTTATTTTTACACAAAATGATGTTCAAAATTAAAGTTTACTAAAAAAAGAAAAAGGAAAGGAAATTTTTAATATAATATTCTCGATTTGCCTTTTTTGAATAATATTCTTGATTTACATGGTTTTTCCAAAATTTTTGAAATACTTTTTTAAATTTAATTTTTCAGAAATTGTGAGAAAATTTTAAATGTTCCCGAATTCATAAATGATAGTAGTGTACTTCTTGCAACTTTTCGCAATACATAATCACATTAAATGAAAATAATAATATACTTGCGATATTATTTTAATAATATAATATATAAAATTCTACCAATTTCACATATAATATTACTAAAATATTATCAAAATTCCCAGTCTATATTGAAAGGGTGATAAACTCGCGATAACTGTGTGAGGGTGGAAACGTTGAGAAGTGGGCTGTCGCAGTAAAGATGCAAAATTCCGTGGAGCTTGAAAAGCAGTGATATCGCGTTATTACGTCAGCTTAGAAAGCAGGTTGGCGAAGCAGAAAATTGTAGAGGACGATCGTACGGTACGGGTTGACGGCGGCATCACGCGTCGCGTCGTTCAACGCCTTCCGCTATTATCCATGTAATCGTGGATAATTTGTTCCGTAGAAACCGCGGCGAATGCACGGCACATGTCGGACCTGTAGCCGGTAATCTGGTTAACATCCATGTTAGGATTAAACCATTAGCCTCGGTGTCGGTCGACGGATCGAAAGGGAATGGTGAGGAGCGACATGGGAGAGGAGAAGATCCGCAAGGCGGACAAGGAGAAGGCAAAACCTCGTGTCGGACGTGTGGCCTCGTTCAATTATTCTCTCTTTGTTACGTCACTTCCGTGGTAACCGGGTTCTCTTCTCGACTCGTCCGGAAGACCACGTTTCTTCTTTTTTCGCTTTTGTAATCCGAGAGTAATCCATTAAAACCATTTAATGTGGTTAAGTAGTAAGCACCGACACGGAAAAAGCGATGCACCGGTCGCGCGAAATGTCTATTTTAATCGGCGAAAATTATGCAAGATTTATTTTTACTCATATTTTAGATATATTTATGTCTGGGACTGAAACTACCGTTTAAAGCGTCGAACGTATTCGATAATTTGAGATAAAATAAATAAAGACGGTTATTACAGAACATTTGACATCTTTCTTTTCTAGTTCGTAATTCTTGTTTCTTCAGACGTGGCGTTTTGATAAAATATGCGAAAATTTATTATGAAACTCGTATGTGTTTTAAATCTGCCTCTAATTAATTCAAGCTTATGGATAAATTCATTATTTTACGCGCATTACTCACGCGTAGACAAACCGCGGCAGGTTGGGGCATCGCAGACGATATGAATTCTGCAGAGCACCCGCGGGAGCTCTCTCGCGTTTTGAGAGAGAGAGAGAAAATATCCTTTCAAATTGCCTGTGCTCCACGCATTTCCATTAATAAACAAAATGCACGCTGGAAGGGAGGAAAAGCAGCAGCGCAGCTTCGGCGAAAAGGGAAAAGAGAAGAGGTGAAGGGAAAAGGATGGAGGAGGAACAAGAGGTGAGGGATTGTGGGGCGATGCTCCGTCAGACGATTGAGTATGCATGGTACACAAACAAAGCAAAAGCTTTGGATACTCTAGGGGAGATGCACACAAATGCGCATCGCTGGGTCTGCGTGTGCGCGGGTGTATTGCCGATACCGGGCACGTATAAGTGTACTTAACCGTGGCGCTTTTATTTCCTCTCTTTATTTCCCGCGGTTTTCAATTTACGTTATTTATTGCCCTCCACGACCGTCCCAGTCGTCCCGCCGCGTCGGCGTCCCACCGTGATTTTGTGAAAGTATCCCAAACTCTCTGCCTCCGTCAACATACTCACACATCCGCGCATATACATGTATGTATGTACATCAAACGCGCGTGCTTTCTAGAACTAACACCATCAAGAATAGCGTGCCCCCGTATATGCGATATCTTTTTTCACCTGTGATATGGTGAGCATGTACGATGGTCAACGTCATGAAGCCTTTTAAAAACGCTTCGCGCATAAAAATCTAACCACGCCAGTCGCGCATAAAGAAGCGAACACATTTTACGCGTTGTACTTTGGAGGAAAAGTCAATCAAGGCAAGAAGGAACTTAATATTAATTATTAACAGAGATAAAAAGTAAATAAATTAATCAATAACAAAATATAAGAGGAAAATTAAATACATAAAAAAAATTGAATAAAAGACAAATTCATTCTGTTTTGAAATCTGATGGATTTTCAATCATTCATCACGGCATTTAATCGGTATAATATAAAACGATATAAAAACAGATTTTTCAGATGAAAACAGTTTAATATCTAATAATTTTCCATTTATTGATCCATTTTATGATCTATAAAATTTACTATGCATACATTAAAACTATGCATAGAGCAGTTCCAAAACCGAGTACAAGCGCATCATCCTTTATATATTTTACATAAGTCAATCCAAGTCGAAAATCACAGAACACTCAATTATGCGTGGTCTCATTTGAATGCAATTAGTAAAATTTAGGACGTATCTCTACGGTTAAATGTTGGTGAAAACGAAAGCTGTAAATTTATGAGGCATTCATTCTTTGTGAGTCGTATGGATTTTTTAAACTAATAAATTTATTTATTGTAATTCATCAGTGTGCGGAAACATTCTTGACATTCTAAATTTCTCATTACTTTATATTATACGTTTATCAGATATCTATAGTTAAAGTCTTGCGAATAGGTATAGTATATGCATCTCTTGATGCGCAAAGGCGCTACTGTATAATTGAAACCAAGCGCATAGTAGAAAGAAATATAAATGCATATTCATGCAACGTGTTGCATATACCTCGAGTTGGAAGTATGAGAGCAAATGACACCATGAGAACCACTATGTAAAGGATGTTGTAGGAAATTCTACTCATCTCGAGCGTCTCTTGGCACATATACAACTTAGCTCAATGCAACGAGTTTAGGTACAAACGACCCGAGATATACATATACATATATGTCCGTTCCTAAAAGAGTTGACATAGAAGTAGATACAAAAGTCGCGTGAGAGATAAAGAAAGAGAGAGAAAGATAAAGAAAGGAAGAGAAGACAAAACGAAATGAGATGACAGAAGAGACCTCGAAATCCTGCATCCACGTTGTTAGCTTGTGACCCTTCAACGGGATTTAGAGTAGTTATAGCTTTGTTTATTATTGTTAGGCGAGTTGCGTATTGTATAGAAGCTCTCAAACCAACGCGAATTAATCTTTACTAAGTGGAGCCAATGTGGAACTGGCATTCCCATTTCTCTTCTCTTGCGCCATTCTGCGAGATCCGCGGATGAAAGGTAGCTTCAGAAGAGCTTGTGCGCCTTCGCTCTCTCGCCTTCTGCTCCCTTTCGCCTCGTCCTGCTTCGCAAACTCCATACTTCTATCATTATCCTATCCTGCCTCCCTTAACTAGCATCTTTCATTAAAGGAAGCCGCCACCATTGTGCCCAACTTGTACGACTCGATAGACAATGCGACTTTGTCGGACTCCCGCAGCTGCCGTTCACGCCGTTTGCTCTTGGATCTTCCTACGAAATTTCCAGATCTCTAAGTGCTAATTCGCGAGGAAGAGAATATATCCTATAGACGCTATCATAACAAAGCACCTGCAGCTCTGGAGTCAGCGAAAGAATGTTAGGCTAATAGCACTACACTTCGCATTGAACAAATAATCACACGATATGATACAAATTTAAAAATCTTATGATCTTTCATCATGTTTTTGTAAATTTGTCAATTCATAATAAGATCTAAAATATTCAAATTTTTCTTATACAAAAATTAAGGAAAGTACAATTTATTACAGTACAATGTACAATTTATAAAGTAAAATTAAAAAATGCAGTAACTCTATAATAATCGTAGTAGCAAATCAATATCGTGTCTGGAGAAAATATTTCTTTTTTTCTTATAAGCTTAAGATACTATATATTTTTTGAAAAAACCTTGGTACTTTCAATATTCATTCTTCTAATATTCATTTATTTTATTATCCGTTTTGTAATTATTATTATAAAAGAGTTATTAAAAACCTTTCAATAGTACAATATATATGCAACATAGGAGTTATAATTTCTAAAAGTAATAAATAAATGTGAATGAAGTAAAAGTTAAAGTTTAAAAAAAGATGTCTATAAATGCTTGTCATATTTGACTTTTTACAATATCCTCTAGACAATTAAATTTGCTTTTCTTTAAATATCTCGTAGTTGAGAACAGTAATTATTTCAAGTTTGAAAAGGTGAAAATTTAATATCTGATATGCGCGATTAAATGAAATGGAGATACGCCTTAAACGTGCGGGCATGAAAAATGCGCGAGCGTTTTAATCAGCGTCGACTCCGTAGCATGATAATGGGTGGTCACGCCTACTGCATTAGCTCGACTAAAAATAATTAGCCTGATGGCTACCCACGTTTCTTGGTTCAGAATTATTCAAGAACAGCGACGTAGCAATTTCCGTCATTTCGTCTGAAATCACCAGTCGTGACGCCATCAATGAGGTTGCGCAATGAGTTTAGTGCCATCGCGTTTCTTGACTATAAAGACAAGGAAATACAAAGCAATGAACCCAAAACATAAACTGAATTAAATCAATGAGCATTGATGTGTCGACACTTATTAGTACATCAATTAGTTTTCTTGTTTTACTTCAGATTTTTAGTTTTATTTTAAGTAAGTGTATGGAAAAAAGATGAAATGCAATTTATAAAATTTGAAGTTTAAATGAAATTTGCACGGAAAATATTTTTATAATAATGATTTAATTAAAAAATTCAAACACTTTAAACAATAATATGTCGTATTATCATATTTTCCAGTGCTCTTTGTATTATATAATTAAATATAAATAAGTGTTAATTAAAAATATTCTCGCTATAAACATCTTTAACAATTAAATTTATATACATATTATGAATGTTATATTATGTAAAATAATCTTACAATTATAAAAAACATTTTGTTTGTAAATTGTATATAATTATTGTCTCCTATCAATTTTTTAACGTTATTAATTTTTATTTACGTTGTTTTGCAAAACAAAAAACAATTTTGAAAACAATTAAACGCATATCATAAGATTAATTGCAAACGCTTAATTAAAATATTATACTTTGTGTACGAGTTATATCAATTCACCAGTAAATCTCTTTGTGTCGAATGATTGCCTCCGCACAATAATCCGACTAACTTGCAATCAATTGTTATCAAAATACGATCTATTTTATTATACAGAGACATTTTTACGACAACTACATAGCAAGCATACATTATTGGTTGAATAATTGCATTATTTTTTTGTGATCAATATCTAACTTTTATTAATAAAATTATTTAATTTCATAAAATGTGCTGATATATGTTATTGATATTACAATTAATTAATTTTGTTCTAAAATCAATATTATAGTTTTATTAATCAATTATAGTTTTAATAATAGAACTACGTTACATTATCTTTTTTTTTTTTTCAAACAAAAATGGTGTCACCGATTAAAAATAGGTTAGCAAGAGAAAATATTTAATTTTTACATTTATCCTTTGTAATTTTATATTTTACAAAATAATAAAAAATATTGACAAAATATTGGTGAAGTATTACTATTAAAAATATAATAAAACGATAAAATACTAATATGTCAAGTATTATGTAACAGTTTTCTCGTTCGTTTTCAGATAAAAAGATGGAATGTCAATTTTATGATGCTGAATACAATCGAATTAATTAACCTGCCCATCGAAGTATGATCGGATCTTCTCTTCGACGAGCACCTGCTCGTCATATGTTACTACGAAGAGGACAAGAATCGATTAAACTTTAAATTGAGAGGGTTGCATTGGATCAACTTAGTCATACTAGGTATGTCATGGAACATGACACATTCGTGCGCCAGTCAATCCAGTTTGACACTTTACTGGACAGTTATCTGTCATTCACATTTTTCTTTTTTTTTTAGCAACTGTCGGTTGCTCGAGAGTTAATTGATTGAGTTCCATTTGTCCATTTCCGGACAAACTCAGTATATGTCGCGATTGATTAATCTTGCTATTAAGGATTGAAATCTTGCATAGCAAACATATATATGCTTTTCCACCTATTTGTACTTCTTTTATTTCATGAAATTTATGAAGTTAATTTTCTTTTTGTAAATATTGAAATTTATGAAATTAATTTTCTTTTGGTAAATATATTGTACTCTTATAAAAATACAATTTCGTACAACTTTCATCTGCATTCATATAAATTTTTAGATACGTCAGTACCATTCTTTTGGCATATGACTGAATTTTAAAGCAATTTATTCGAATCCATCAATCGTGAGTCGAATTAGATCTTACATAAAATTACGTAAAAAAAATATCGTTTTATTCATCTTTACTTATCATTTCGAATGATTTTCCTTTATTTTTTCTACTTGTGATCCTAATCTAAACGCGAATATTGATGTGGAAGAATGAACAAAGAGCTCATCGGTTTTCTTTTACGAATCTCTTTAATTTCCGCCGTTTCTGTGATGCTGCAGTGACAAATGATGTGGCAGCGGTAAAAACTATCCCGCGAATAAAATGAGTTTTCAAAAAATGTAGGTCTGAATATGCGTTTCAAATGCAGAAAATGGATATTTTGTTTTAAATACATTTATCAAAATAAAACGTAAAAGATTGAATCAGTGTTAAATGTTATAACGCATGAAAAAATATACGTGTATATGTATATATACGAAAAAATAATCATGATAATAAAAAATAAATATATATTTAATATAAAACTAATAATAACTTGATTATGAAACTTACCTCTTCGAATATAATCCTTTGCATATTCTTTTACTCTTTTTTAACACTATCATGCAAAATAAAAATCAGATACGCTCTTACCTCTTTAACTTTTTCACGGCGCTGATTGGTCACATCATCCAAAGGTGGATTAGGCGGTCTAATAACGTAAATGCCAGGAATAGATACAGCTGGCGTTTCAACCACCGAAGGCTCAAATTGTTTATGTCTGATATCTACACGTCGATCTTTATCTTTATCTTTATCTTCGATTTCAGGCTCATCTTGTCCTGGAACCACATTATCTTGTATCCAGGCCGGATTCAACTGTTCGTTGCGTTCTTCCGGCGCGACGCCTCGTTCGACGACATTCGCGAGATCGCGTCGTGTTATAAATGTTCCGGTTAGAAGAAGGATCAGGATCACGGACAGCAGTCCGCTGATCGCTAATCTTTGCATGAGCCTCATGTCGTCTAGACACTTGCCGCAGCTTGACCAGCCGCCTGGAGTCTCGGACTGGATTGCGCTCGTATTGGCAGAGCTATGAAGAGAATGTGAAAGATTCATTTTGTCAAATGTATTATTAATTAATCTTTATGACAGTGCTTACTAATATAACGGCAATCAGCAATTATACGAAAACCAGTACAACGCACAAGCTTTATACACTCGTATGTATTTGTATATAAAATGGAATTTAATTATAATTTCTAGATTTTTGAATGTTCAATATTCAATACTCTTTTTAGACTAAAATTCTTTTATTTAAAGAAACATTTAAAATATAATTGTTTGAAAAATGCAATTAATTTCTAAATTGATTGGTCTTTTATGTTCCAATTTCAACGCATCATTGAGCAATTTAACGCCAATATCGATTACGAAGACCAATTTAAAGAGAATGTTGATGCCGTACATCAGAAATTACAAGTATGAATCACAGCCGCAGCATCTCGTGATACTTACTTGCAAACCACCTGTTAAACGTAATTCGAGTACGGCGGTGAATAAGTATGCGACTTTTGTTCCAAGTCGTTACAATTAGTAGGCTTTTTTAATATGTTTCTCGAAAATAACTAATTCGACGAAATTAAGCCGATTAGGTCTCACAATTATCAGCAACTGCAAAAAAAAAAGCATTGACTATGTTACACTAATCAAAATCTCGAATAAAAATAAGTAGAATTATTTTTCAAATAATCGAGCGTCTGCAGTTGTTTGAAATCGCGTGAAATTATATATATTGCCGGCAAGTTCGTTGACTTGAATCGCAAGGCTGATCCACTCAAGCGAAGGTAATTTTTCGGGGAGAACGATTACATCAAAGCATCGCGAAAAAATATTAAAAGCGATACGTACAACAAGTGCTGCGAGGGATGGCGAGCAGTATCGCCGATCGAGAAAGGAAGACGACTGGAGGTACGAAGAGGTGAGAATCAAAGAAGGTGAGATAGTTTGAAGATTCCGAAGTCTCTGCCGAAATGTGATCACTGCATTTTTTATCGAGCCCGAGGGATCGCGAACGGTTTCTTCGTCCTCCCTGCATCGAGGGCCTGCGTGCATTTTATCGCCCGGTCGCTGCAGGCGTTACACCTGCAGATTTCGATTTTCTTTCCTTTTTGCTACGCAACGTGCCTTTCAGCACGGCCTAAAATCTTCCGACTCTGCCCGCTCGTTCGTTATCTATTTCCCGGTCAAGAACAATTTAAAATTGAGAGTTTTAAGAATTTTTTAATTCTAAGAACAATTCTCGATCATATAATCATCAGTAAATATAATTGAGAATCATTCACGTATTCTTCTTTGTACTTAAAGAGGATTTTTGCAAATCATTTTTGAAAGACAAAAATTCTCTTTTTTCTACAAAACATTCGTTATTTTTTTGACACTTGGCTATATTAGAATATATAATATTTGTTAAATGTATTAAAATACTTATTGTTGTTTAAAATTATATTATTGCCTAATTATAATGTAATTGTAAAAGAGATTGTTTATTGTCTCGCAGAAATACATTTTCTTAGCAGAAAGGGCTATTTTACATTCTGTAGGAACAAATTTCTAACGGCATTAATGTAGTTGCCACGCGACATATTAATAAGGGTAGACGATTATTTGTCAGACGTAATGTACTGTTAAAATCGAACGATACGATTAATCTCGTATCACTTCATTACTAAAACAGCAAATTAGGTAAAACGAATTCTACAAAATATTACGTTTTAAATTATTCACAAGACCGTGAGTTTGTAGCCCGATAACTGTCGATACTGCAAAATATCGAGGCAGAAAGTTTGAGATATCGAAGTTCAGGTACAGCAGAGGTAGCGTTCCAACGTTGATTCAACTCGATCGTAAGCGATGGTCGAGATAGAAAAAGAGAGTGAGACGGAAAGAGAAGAAACGGTACAAAAAAAGAATGCAAAGGACAAAAGAAAGAGAGAAAAATCCAGAGGAAAAGGGAGAGAAAAAGAGAAAGAAACAAAAGAGAAAGAAAGAGATAGCGTGTGATCGCGGGGAAGAAAAGAGGAGCGGAGGGAGAAGATAAATTGTCGAAGCTGCACTCGGTGGCCAATAAATTGCGCGGCATAGCCCCGAGGTTACCAAGATTGCTACGTGTCACATTCTTGCGAAAAATTGGACCGATGGAAGTATCTTAAAGCCAGGCAAATACGCGTCGCAAATGGACATGTACGCGAACATCAGACCACCCACCCAATTGTAAAACTATGACAAAAATAATGGATATTGCCTACATTCCTTGAGCCTTCGGTAAATACAACCGAATCGATTTCTACCTTTTTCCATCTTAATACACGTTTGAAAAAATATAAGGCAATTGCTTTTCCAATAATTATTCAATGATTTCATAACTTTTAAATTTAATAATGGCATACCTAAAATTTAGCGACAAGAAAATTAAGATATCCTATTTTTGTCATCGTATTGTAAAAAATCTATATTTTAAATATTTGTATCGAATTCTTTAGTATTTTAATTGCTGTATCACTTATATCTGAGTGACGCATAAAATTTGCAAGGATTCTATTACGTATTTGTTGATGACAATTTTATTTCCGATTAAAAGTTATTATTAATAACTTATTAAATTTATTTGAGATATTAAAGAGACAATATAAATAATATTAAAACATAAAATAAATATAAAGTATAATAACTAACATAAAATAATTAAGTAAATATTAAAACACTAGATTTACTAAGCTCAATGTCGAAATTAGCTGGCAGTCGAAATGTTAACTGTTATGACTTCGTATTCATATAATTGGTGCTTGAAACGACGTAACCGTGGATTCGAGACAGGAGCTTCTTCACTGAGATGCAAAACCGCTTTTTTGATCTTATTATTCCCGAAGGATAAGCGGTCGCCAATTGTAAAGGTTATATCTCTTGATACATCGAGTTCAATGAAACACACGGAGCGCTAACAATAAGAAAGAAGATGAAAAAGAAAAAAAGAAGGAAAGTGAAATAAGAGTCGCGAAAGTAAGAGCGAAACGTCGAAAGGTTAGCGGGTGGTTCGACCAATCTTTCACTTCGAGGTTTTACGAAGAGGGTAACAAATAGGGGTGGTCGAGAGGAAGGACGATAGAGCCAAGGAAGCGGCGGGAGCACTCCAGGAGTTTACGACAGGACCGGTGCATGAACACGTCAAGGTGGGGCCTGGGGCACACGGATGGTTACCGTCCCGAATGTCCAGCACGTGTGTGAATTCGTATGCACGTGTGCGGGTGATATACGTATGTACGGAGAGGCGGCAGGGACCTTGGAACCAGCCCAAGTCGAGTGTCGGAGCACACTGTACCTCGCTCTGAATACCCAGCATTAAAGCCAACTATAACGCTCTTTGGATCTCGATTATCGGCGATTTTACCTTTGAGGGTAAGATATACAACTCGGGTAGAGAATGCCATTAAAGATCGTGCGATACTTAAACATTTTTACAGTATAAATTAATATATTTGACAGGTATATTACCTACGCTAGATATCTTTAGGAACATCACTGCTAAGTAATTTAGTTATAAAATTATATTATTATACAAAGTCAAATTATGATTAAAATTATTTAATATTTATAGAAAAGCTTAACAAAGAGGATGAAAAGGAAGAGGGAATATGCTTCATGTTTAAAAAAGACATCGCTTCTTTATTTTGAAAGTGATAGAACATAAAAAATTAAGTTTCTCAGAAAAGAAAAAAAATCTATTTTTCAACTCGATAAAAAATTATTCAATAACTAATCAAATAATATCAGCAAAATAAATATATTCTTAACATGATCAAATGTTATTTTTGTTTTCTAATAAAAAAATCACTCTTTTTGAGTTATGAAAATTTTAATTTTTTAAGTTAAGTTAGTTCACTTTTGATAATTATCAAAAATTAATAAAATAATACATTTTTTAGTACAATGTTTATAATATACATAATTCGATTAAAAAAAGAAATCGAAGCACTTTTATAAAAAAGATATAAGCATTATTTATACAAAGGTAGTATTATTTCTTAAAATTAGAACAAATATAGAGATTTATATATTTATATATTGTTGAATTCTTCATTGTATATGTATGTAGGTACTTAAAAAACAAATTTAATTTTTTTTTAATTTATGACTCCAACTTTTTATGACTTGACTAACTTTAAGAAATTAATACAGTCAATTTGCGCTGTAATTGTAGTGAATAAGTCATTCAGTTTTTTTAAATAATAAAAAACTGAAAAGAAACGAATAGTTATTAATCTATTTCGAGCACTGCAGTTTCCAGTTGCAAAAAATTGTAGGTTTTTATGTTACTTTGGTTATAATTCCTTCTTGCGAGTACATTGCTTGCGTGACGTATCCTAACATTTGTTCTCGGCGTACTTCGTAATTTACTCAGTGCGTTTGCATGTTTTATGGACGTTATATAAAACGTCGGAAATATACGGCGTCTCAAATATTTAAAGTTCGCTGGGGAATACGAGGCGAGACCTTCTCGCTCTCCTATCCTAGCTACGTTTGAAATTTCCACAGTCAATCTCTCTTTGCACCTTCCTCGCCGCTTCGTATTCCATCCCGCTTCGTCCCTTCTCAGAAACCCGTCACGGCGTGCAAGTCTGCAGAAGCTCTGATGGAAGTTTGCTTTCGTAAGCGAACGTACCGCTTCTCTAACTAGCGCAAACGGAAACAGCTGTGAGAGAAAGAGAGAGGGAGGGGGAGGGGGGGAGAGAGAGAGAGAGAGAGAGGAACAAAGGGGAATGACGAGAGGGAGAGAGAAAGGGGGAAGAAGAGAGAGGGAGAGGAAAGGAAGAGAGTCCAGCCGGTGATTCTTGAGTAGGATCGGTAGTGCATACTAGCAAATCGTACCTAAACTCCGAGGTTTGATTTCACCTCACTCTCCTGACGTAGCCTGAGACTTTGGCCCGGAGGTATGTCTACTTAGTTTGCCAACTCATTACCCAATTATCGTTATAAGATCAGAAACCAGTCCGACTTCGTAGCAAAGGCGAATCGGAGTGGAAATCTAAAGCAATGCTAATTGCGCCCTTCTGATTCGAGAGACCTCGTTAGATATGGAGTAAAGTGGATATTTAAAAATAAAGTTTCGGGCAAAGTTTCCTCGCCACTTATTTTACGTTCGGATAATCGCATCGACTTGTGGGAGAATTAAAGAGCGAACAAAATAGGATCGCAAAACAATTTCTCACTTCTATTTCTCACGACCATCCAGATGTGTGAGCTATTTGGCCACAAATAAAATTAAGTTATTATTTACATACTTTTAAGTTTTTATGATGTTACTGATGATTAAACCTCAGATAAATACGGAATTGTAATTAACGATCCTCGTCAGCAGCCATTCCGCTGGCGTTACATGTTTATGCCTGTCAGTAAATAGGTATGCGCGCGTGTGTAGATTTGTGCGCATACCGGGGAAGCGGAATGACCGAAGACAATGCGGGCAACGTGTTAATCCCAGGATACTGTGTGTTTATCGTGGTTCATCCAAGCGCCCCGAGGCTGTAGTTGGGTTCCTACAGTTTCTTCCTACTTCCAAGGTATCAAGGGCCAGCTTTGTCAGTGGTAGTACCGAAGTCACCAACATCCGTAGCCAC